CAAAGTGTTTGATTGAATGTGTCGAAATTTAATTTTGTTTTTTATTGTTTCAGGTTGCTCGATTAAGAATCCGTCGTAAACCAGGAACCAGAATAGTGTTGAATGTTAAAAATAACTGTGAATCCACCAAAAGTCTATCAGTGCCTTGTAATGTTGAAGTGACAACCACAAACTTTTCAAGTGACATGTCGACCAATACAACAGTAACAACCACAACCGCCTCAAATCCCAGTCCTGAAAGGTCATTTGCAAGTCAAAGATTCTCAGTCTGTCCAAGTATAGCTAGTCAAGTTATCGAAGAGAGTTCAATCATTCAAATTGACTCTAACCCAAATGCCAATGGATCTTCACCTTCTCCTAACGCTGATGATCCAGGCTTAGGTTGTGAAATTGACTGTCCAAATTTAAACAGCACCTTTGAGTGCAACCGCAACCATTTGTCAACCTCATCTCCAGCCAAAGAATGCCTTATACCACCGACAACACCTTCCAATCGAAGTGGACTCACAACGCCAATCCACAGTAATCCAGTTGAAAGAGAAAAGTATACTTCGGAAAATTGTGGTGGATCGACGATCGACATTGACGATGACTGGAACTTGATTGGCCAAGAAATATCAGTAACAAGTGATGTTGTTGTTACATGTGATTCAAGAGGAACCAGTTATCATTATGCTTCAGTGACCAACAAGGACAGTTGCATGGAGAGTGGCAAAAGGGGGAAAAGCAACTCATCGATATCCAAAAAGAACAAGGCAAACAGTGTAAAGAATAATTCGAAAAGAAAAGCACTTCGAATAACGACGAGTTTGATTAGTCCAAATAAAGAAAAGTCGACTCGAAATTATGGCTCGTGTGGAAGGTCAAGTCGAATGAGTTCAACCAATGGAAGAGATTCATTAGAATCAAAGAGAGAACGAAAAGCGGCCAAAACATTAGCCATAATAACCGGGATTTTCGTCATTTGTTGGCTTCCATTTTTCATTGTCGCTCTTCTTTCGCCCATTTGTGGTCCACCTTGTGATCCACCCGCTCTGTTGACCAGCCTTTTCCAGTGGTTGGGTTATGTCAATTCAATGCTCAATCCTGTGATTTACACCATTTTCAGTGCCGACTTCCGAACTGCTTTCAAGAAGATATTGCTTGGAAAACGAGCGGTTCATCGATCTCAAAATCGAGTGTAGAATATTGGAAAAAAAGAAATTTCGATTTTTATTGTGCTTCAAGTTTCCTTAAACAGTGGCACCAAGTTTTTGTACCAATTTGGATACAGTTGGCGACCTCAAAGTGAACTGCAATATTTATATGAGAATTATTAGAGAAACATTTTTATTCTGTTTTATTTTGCCACCAATCGATATATTGATAATGATGCCTTGCAATTGGCTGATGTTTCCTTGATTTATTGAATTCTTGTTTGTTTCAGCATAAATAGTTGAAAAGAGATTATCATGAAGCAGATGAATTGATGAAGAGAAGACAAAATGTGAGAAATGTGTAAGTTTTGGCTGGACAAATGTTTATGGTTAAATAATCTTACCTCAGTATTTTTGTTGTTGTTCTCGCTGGTCCAATGGTCCAGCAACAAAGTAGCCACGGTCAGTTTATATTCAATTCTTATTGCTTTTTATTATTTTTCCTGTTCATTCAACCATGGAAAACAGTGAAACAAAAGTAAATGGATCATCACAATTGTCATTCAGTTGAACCTTATTTTGTCCTTCAATCATTTAAGCTCATTGATAAAATAATAACTGGATAACCAAATAAAACAATTTACATCAGTTTAGTTATTAGAATGCTTTTAATGTAAATTTTTTCCATCAAATTTACATTAGGCAACAAACGAAGTACAATGTTTTATTTGAATCAACAAAAGTCCGAAGAGCAACATTGGTAATGGTGGACATTCGAGTTTAACTATAAATAGCAAATGACAAATAAATTAAAACACGAAAAATGTTACAAGAGAAATGTTTTCATCTTATTTTTAGATTTTGAAAGATGTATTCGGAAATTGATTCGTGGGTAGAAATGGATTAAAAAAGATTTGCATTCACTTGGAAAAGGATTTGTTTTTCAGACTAAAAATAAATTGAAGTTGTAGACACGGAATGTGCTTGGTCAGGGAGTTTTCCCTATCATGAGTGTATCATGATGTTCACTCATTCACACCCTCACTTTCATGTCAGTTCATCCTCTGACTTTATATTTAATCAAATTAATTTCATGGGAATGAGACGAAAAGGTAGGAGGTAGAAACCAAGATAATGTTTAACTTTCAGATCAC